CCAAGACGGATAAACGGACTGTCGAAGGCTGCGGTCCATTTGACGCTACAAACGCTTCGAAGCGTTTTTGATTAGTCAATTTGTAAAATTCTTTGTTCTGATTGGTTGCTAAAACGCTTCGAAGCGTTTGTAGCGTCAAGTGGACCGCAGCCCTAATCAGCTATTTTAGCGACAAAAAGGATCACGTGATCAAAATGGACATTTGATATTCGTCAATTTTGACCACGTGATTCTTTTTGTCGCTGAAACAGCCGGTTTTAACAGCCCGTGAAAATTTACCTTTAGACTTAAACTAGAGTTAGGCTGGATACCCATGAGGTGTATTTACCGCGTATCGCGTAACCGCGTAACCAATCAATAATCAGTAAAATCCGAAATCACAATAGCGGATCGCTTCTGATTGGTTACGCGATACGCGTTACGCGGAAAATCTGTGCCATGGGACGGCACCCTTAGAATTGAGTTTCGCGTGCAACGCTTAGAGATAGGCGCGATGATTGGTCAGGCGAAAGGTGGAGACGGACTTCGCGCGTATCCGTTCTGTGTCAAGCGCGAGTACATTCTGCCATCTCTCTACGTTTCCTCCATGGATGTCCCTAAAGGCCGCGACACAGACTTTTGCGTAATACATAAGGCATAACGCATAACCCCGGATCTACAATAGATTTTTAAGCTTTAAGTCATAAGGAATGGACGAATTACAATCAATTATTCTCCTCGCATTCGACTATAGTTGGTCAATTTCTTACGGCTTAAGGCTTAAAACACCTATTGTAGATCCAGACTAATGCATAGCGTAAAGGTGCAGACACATGGAGCCGTCAAGCGTCAAGCAGCAAGCAGCAACGCTTAGATGCTAGCCTATGAGCATTTTTCGCTGTTCACACTGAAAGCGACGGCGTCAAGCGACAATATTAAGGCTGCTTTCCTTTTAGGAGACACAAACCGACACAGTATAACACACTCAAACACAGTTTGCCACGCTTAAATGGAACGCAATATGTGCAGTGTGTGTATCGTGTACGAACTTTTAATACCTAACCTTAAAAGATTTGAATTTTGACCTTAACGGACATACGAGATCAGATTATTGCAAGGAGTGATGTGTATATTTTCGAGTAAAGGTACATACTTTGCATCAATTGATG